TGAGGGAAAAATGCAATCACCCAAATTTTACAAACAATGACAGAGATGAGAGTAGGAAAGATTAGGCAACATCTGAGTTTTAATTTGAAAAGTGTCCAAGTCATCATGAAAGGCCGTCTGGAAGTAAGTGATTATTAGAGATTCTTTGGGAGACCTCATCTGAAAATGTTAAGACTGCCAGTGAGGGAAGGAATTGTTAAAATGCCAGCGGCTTTTTTCCTCTTTTTTTCTCTAATTCTATAAAAATGCAGAGAAAGTTGAGTGGTACTTCAGAATTGAGGGAGAGGGTTACCGCAGAGTAGAAACATATTTCTAGATTTCAGTTCCACACCACAAATCCACAACAATGCCATTTTTCAACTGTACAAAAGAATCTGCTTATGAACTTGACATGATCTTAATGGAAGTGTCAAAGGCCAAATTTTTCACCTGTTAATGTTTTTCCACATTTGTCCTTGAATCTGAATATACAGTACTGTAAATTTAACTTACATCGAGTTTGATGTCAATTCTTATGAAAAGAGCTTTCTGCATGTAACACACATACAGTTAAAGAACACAGCAGAGTACAAAATTTGCAGGAAGAGTTTTGGAACCAACAGAAAACGTCACCTTTTATTTGCCATCTTATATGTATCAGTTTTACCAGCTACTTCTAAATTTGTACATTATTTGTAAGGGAAAGAAGGAAAACCCTAAGACTTGTCTAACTTAGTGGAGAATGTGTGTGTTGGGCTTAGGATGGATAGCTAAGTCTTATTGAGCTGTGTTACCTAACTTGTATATAAAAATTGTAATTAAAACTTTGGGTTCACCTGTTTCTCACAGTTTAAAATGATGAGTAATTGCAGACTCTGGAAATGTGACTAGTATATGATTTAAGGCTGTAGAAGCAAGGAAGCTCTTTCAAGTGCTAAAACTAAAGACTTCTAGTTTTTGGCTCAAATTCAATAAGTACTGTTTGCATACCAGGATATGTGAGATGTAAATGTAGTAGGTCACTTTTCACCCTTGTAGCTATAAAATAAAAATTTTGTAGAACAGAAATAGCTTGTACTACTGAATTAACAAAAGTTATACTAAAGTTCATGTTTTAAAAAATATATATATACAGAGTTAAGCTTGTTGCTGTTACCCTGTCTGGATTTGAAAAGTGTGCTGATTTTATATATATATATATATATATATATATATATATATATATATATATATGTAACACACACACACACACACACACACATACACATACACATACACACACGCACACGCACACACACTCTACAATGGCCTAAAGCAGACATCCATGTAATTACAGTTGCAAAATGAAAACATTTTGGAAAGAACATTGTATCATAGTTCATTCATTTGCAGTGGATCTTTGTTCCTTTTTACTGTGGTAATTTTAGAAATGAGTGTCAAGTTTGAAATTAGATCTGCCAAGTTGGGGTTTTGCTGCTTGAACTCTGCACTGGGTCCTCAAATAAACCGATGTGAATGTAGTTTTTTCCCCCTGTGTGAAGAAGCAGTCACACCCCAACAATAGGAGGAAAAATCTAGAACTATTTCAAGTTTTATCTTTTTGTATATGAAAATAAAATAATAAAACAATCCTTGTCTCTCTTAATTATGTGGCAGGGGACTGGAGGTTCATGGGAATTGGAAATAAAATGGTGTTCACCTGCTTGTAGGGCTGACTCAAGTCGGGTCCTGTTTGGTGTGTGTAACATTAACAGATGCTAATTGCCGAATGCCTAGCCTGCCATGGTCCTGTGGGGCTGAAGCTAAGCACCATGGGTCTCTATTTCTGCCATTCAGAAGTCCAGGGTCTAGTTGGGGATACCATGAAAGGGGACCATTCTCCTGAAGGAACTGTTCCGGGATTTTGGGTAAGTTTCTGCAGGGTAGCATATTTTCCAAATGTCCAAGACACTCCCCTGTTCCCCTGTCCTTTGCAACCAGACCTATACTTTACAGACCACCCTGAGCAATATTGTTTTAAGTGGAGCGGAGAAACCTTGAAAATTTTTATTCAGGACTATTGAGATGACAAGCTCTGCCATTCCCAAATGTTGCTGAGTACTGGAGTCATTTGCTAAGCTATTAAAAAGATAAAATTATGGGTCCTTATCTCCAACCTGGAATCAGCAAACCAGGTCCCAGGTTTCAGAGATCCAGACTTAATCTTACTGAATGAGTTTGTAGTTCCCCAATAATAAAATAATGCTAGTCTTTAATCCTAACAAAGCAGGAAGGCTCCAGAAATCACCTCACTGCTTTCTGTGCTTGACAAGTTTTTTTGGTTCATAACTCATACTCACCTAAGTGGCGAAACACCCTTTTAATTCACCCTTTATTATGAGAATTAAGCAACTGCTTGAAGCTTTTGGAGAAAGGTTCAGGGACCAGTTGCCCAACGTTTGGCTGTTTTTGCTCTTTCACATTTAGAAAGTTCACCTTTTATTAATGAGTGCCCCCAGTGACGGAGGGCGAAGGGCTGACATTTTTTTTTTTTTTTTTTTTTCTCTCGGCTCACCGCAACCTCCGCCTCCTGGGTTCAGGCAATTCTCCTGCCTCAGCCTCCTGAGTAGCTCGGATTACAGGCATGTGCCACCATGCCCAGCTACTTTTTTTGTATTTTTGGTAGAGACAGGGTTTCACCGTATCGACCAGGATGGTCTCGATCTCTTGACCTCGTGATCCGCCCGCCTCGGCCTCCCAAAGTGCTGGGATTACAGGCTTGAGCCACCGCGCCTGGCCCAGGGCTGACATTTTTGATACAGGATCTTGGAGCTGGAAAAGCTGAAAGGTTGGACCTTAGGAGTCATCTGGTCAAACTTTGCCGTTAGCAAAGGAATTTTTTCACCAAGAGAAATTGGGCACAGGAGTTGGTTTATAAAACCACGCTTGTCTGAACGAGCAAGTGGAAGAGGGCTCAAGGGCCATTTCACTTGCCCTCTCAGCCCTTCCTAAAGAACACCTGGGAACCCTGATTAACGTTTACAAATCACTGGCCCAATTCCAATTTTACAGGTGGGCAAACAGGCCCAGAGGGAGTATTCCTACCCAGAGGCAGGCAGCCCTTCCAGTGGGACCAAACGTGGGGTTACACCGTTGTTTAGAAGTAGTGGATCTAGATGAGGAAAAGCCATCTACCATTTATCTCTAGTATTTAACACAGGGTCTGGCACTTAAAAGGGCCTTGAGAAATATGGTACTTCAGTGATTGTGTATTTAGTAAATTTGGGGGAAAGCTGCTGAAGCAGTCTTGAAGCCTACAGATAACAGTGTTGTCTGGTTGTATTTGTCAGGACTCGGTTGCAGGTGACAGATAAGGGGGTTTCACTGAAAGGATCTTGGGGGGGAAATGGCTAGCTAAGCCTTCAGAAAGGCAGGATGCATGTGGTCTTCAGGATCCTTGGGAGCCGGGCTCACAGCATTACAGGCCTTCACCTGCATCCAGTATTTCTTCCATTGTTGCTCACGGCAAGACCGGATGCACCTGCTCCTTTGACTACTTAGCAGGAAACAAGGCTGTGGACAGTGCCAGAGCTGCTTGCTTTTTCTCCCTCCTTCCCTCCCTGCGTCCCTTTCTCTTTTTCTTTTGACACACCGCCCAGACTGGAGTGCAGTGGTGTGATCTCAGCTCACTGCAACCTCCGCCTCCTGGGTTCAAGCAATTCTGCCTCAGTCTCCCAAGTAGCTGGGATTACAGGCGCCCACCACCACACCGGCTAATTTTTGTATTTTAAGTAAAGACGGGGGTTTCACCATGTTGGCCAGGCTGGTCTCAATCTCCTGACCTCAAGTGATCTGCTGGTCTCAGCCTCCCAAAGTGGTGGGATTACAGGTGTGAGCCACTGCGCCTGGCCCAGTCCCAGAGTTTCACGTCACAGCTTTGCTACCCGGAGAGAGTACCAGATCCAAAATCCCTAGGAAGGGCTCTGGTTGATGTAACAACCAGTCAGAGTTCTTCACAAGAGGTATTCCTGGCAGGGGGGTAGCCTCCCATTCGAGGCTGTCAAAATAACGTGTACACCTGAGTAGGTTCTTAGAAGTGGCCTCCTGCTCAGTGAATCATCAGTGGGATCAGATGAAACATATTCCTACCAGTTACCTGAGAAATAGGAAACTTGAAGGTTCTGTTAAGAAGTACATCCACACAGAATGCTGGAGATAGTGCTGCAAAATGAAGACTCACTTATTTGTGAGTGGTAGTCTACGAAATGCATCTGCCCTTTCTTTGCCAGGAGGCATTCAGCAATCTGGACTTTATATTCTACCAAGACAAACAGTAGAGATGACTCAAAAATTTCTAACATTTATAGAGCACTTAATGACATGCCCCGGTACTGCCGTAAACATTTTGCATGTGTCATCTCCTTTAATCCTCACAAGAACCCTATGATCTAAGTATTATTATTCCCATTTAAAAGAGAAGGCTGGGCATAGTGGCTCACATCTGAAATTACAGCACTCTGGGAGGCTGAGGCAGGAGGATTGCTTGAGGCCAGAAGTTGGATACCAGCCTGGGCAACATAAGGAGACCCCCTTCTCTACTGCTTGCTGACCCCCACCAAAAAAAAATTTAGCCATGCAATGTGGCACGAGCCTGTAGTCACAGCTACTCAGGAGGCTGAGGCAGGAGGATCACTTAAGTCCAGGAGTTCGAGGTCGCAGTGAGCTATGATCATTCCACTGTTCTGCAGCCTGGGTAACAGAGACCCTGTCTGTACATAAAGACCCTGTCTCTAAATAAATAATAAATAAATAGACCTGAGTGGGAATGTAGGCCCTGGAGACCTTGGAGCAACCATGTGCAAGTGTTTACTCACCTATTCAATGGGACTAAAGGCATTTTCTTTTCAAGACTAAATATAGCACACCACTAAGCCCTCAAAACACACTCCCATCCATCGTCCGGTCCAGTGGACCGGGGATGAAGCGGGGGTGCGCCAGGGCGCCCAGGTGTGTCACCAGGGGGCGCGCGAGGCCCTCAGGTGGGCGGGGGCGGAGTGGGCGCTGCGCGCGCATGCGCCGTGGTAAAAGGCCGCTACCTCGAGCAAGATGGCTACTAAGAGCATCGCTTCCCGCCTCCGGGGCTCCCGACGTTTTCTGAGTGGCTTCGTGGCCGGGGCTGTAGTGGGCGCAGCGGGAGCTGGGCTCGCGGCCCTGCAGTTCTTCCGGAGTCAGGGCGCTGAGGCGGCGTTGGCAGGGAAGGAGCCGGACGGTAAGTCTGTGGGCCCGCCCTCCCTGCCCTGGCCGAGGTCTCGGGCCCCGCCTCTCACCTGGGGTTTGAATGGCGGCCTTGACGCGCAGCCTTCCCCGAGCCCGGCCCTTGGTTTCGACCTTTTTATTCTCCCGTCTCGGCCTCCCCTCCCCACCTCGCGTCTCGCCTGCCTCCCTCACGTCCTTCCTTCCCCCGGGCATCTTTGTTTTCTGCACAGGACCCTCCTCCCCCACCGCCTTCTCCCAAATTATTCATCGCGGTATATCTATGTTTTCATGTCGGTGGCCTCCACTGGGATTGCTAGCTCCGGAAAACCGGAGGCTGTGTCTGTTTTGGCCTCCATCTAACCAGCACAGTTCCTGGTACATAATGGGCGTTCAGTAAATGTGGATGAAGGAATACATTAACACATCGTTTTAGCAGATTGGTTAACTGCCTTTCTCTCGTAATTGTTCAGTTGAAGCCTACCTGTGACCCCTTCAAAGTGTGTAAATCCTCATGTTGCAATGGATACCTTATATTTGACCCCCCAAAATTAACACGTGCTAATTTCTTGCACTTTGCGGACGTGCTGATTTAACTTGCTCCTTTGGACACTTGGCATCTAGCAAGAGAACTACTCTGGTGGGTTGAGGATTTGAGGAGGCATCAGAGGTTTGTCTCAGAACTGACTCACTATTGAGCGTGTGCTTGGAGTCTCCCACTAGGAAAAACTACCAAGTTTACTGTTATCTTGCAACGGGACGCGTATCAGTGCTTTAGAGATGATTTGGAAATTTGATGTGAAAGCCCAGTTAAGATCAAGTTCTTATTCAGAAGTTAATGCAGTAGCTGCAGTTTATCCACTGATTATAGCCAAATCAGTACTTTGCCAACTGTCTGTTTTCTTTGTCTCGTAAGTCGTTGCAAAAATGAGGTGTTCTGGTTGGTTAGACTCCTGAGCCAGTCCTTTGCAAATCACACCGTTCTCCTTTTCCTTAGAATCTTTCATTCTTAAGAGCCACTAATTGTTGCTGTTTTTTTCTCTGTCTCTGCCTTTTTTTTTTCTTTTTTCATTCTTAGGATCTGCGGAAAAGGCTATCTTGGAACAATTTGGATTCCCTCTAACTGGAACAGAGACAAGATGTTACACTAATCACGCTCTGTCTTATGACCAGGCAAAGCGGGTGCCTCGATGGGTTCTTGAACATATTTCCAAAAACAAGATAATGGGTAGGTGGCTATAAAAAAAATTGAAGTAACAGTATTTACAAAAGGTGTCTCCAAATTTGAAACAGTGGTGATTATTAATATTCACAACCTTTTCCATATCATAGCACATGTAGAAAATTGTATTTATATGGCTGACTGGTTAAATCAACCCTGCCTGGCAGCCAGAAAGCCAGACCCTTTCCAGCTGTCTCAGGGCTGAAAATATCCATTATCTTGGCACAGTAGTTGGGAGGTCATAAATATTGTAGCAATAAGCACCATTTAGTTTTACCTTAACAAATATTGAGGTGCTTGCTATGTGTCTGCCACTGTGACAACCCTTGGGAACATATGTGTGACCAGAGGATCTCTACTCCCATGACACTTTGAGTTGGGAGAGTGGGTTGACCTATTAAACAGATCATTATGGATGTATAATTATAATAATTTTTTCAAAGGAAGTGATTGCAAGTTATGATAGTATAATTAAGGAACAGTAAAAAGTTTGATAAGTGGCTGGGAGCAGTGGCTCACACCTGTAATCTCAGTACTTTGGGAGGCTGATGCGTTTCAGCTCTGGAGTTTGAGACCAGCCTGGCCAACATGGTGAAACCCTGTTTCTACAAAAAATACAAAAATTATCTGGCCATGGTGGTGCACTCCTACAGTCCCAGGTACCTGGGGGACTGACATGGGGGGGATCTCTTGAGCCCAGAAGGTGGGGGTTGCAATGAGTCAAGATCATAGCATCACACTCCAGCCTAGGCACCAGAGGGAGACCGTGTCTCAAAAAAAAAGTGTGAAGAGAGATTATAACAGGAGAACCTGCTTTTGATTAGTAAGGCTTCTCTAAAAAAGTGGACTGAAGAGTGAATGGAAATTACCTAGGCAGGGGGTTGAGTGGGCCATGGGATGAGGAGACGAACATTCTGGGAAGAAAGGAACTCTTGCGTCTCTGAAGGCCTCAATGTGGAGAGGAGTTTTGTTCTTTTAGGGAACTAAAAGAATGCCAGTAGCTGCAATGAGGGAGAAGGTGATGTGAAATGAGGCTGGAGAAGTAGGCAGGTGTGTCAGTTTATTCAAGTCTTGATAGGGTCCTGTGGGTTTACCAGATCTTGATAATTAATGTCAAATTGGTTTTTCAGTAGATTCTTTCAGTTTACACTCCTAACCATCACTGTTTGTTCTCTCTCAAGCCTCACCCATGGTGAGCGTTACCTATTTAATGTTGATTTTACTTGTGTTTATTGATTATCAGTGAGGATTAACATGTTGTAAATTAGTCTTTTTTTGAATTATTTATAGAAGCTCTTTTAGATAAAAGGATATTTTGATGAGAGGCTGGGAGGGGTGGCTCACACCTGCAATCCCCACACTTTGGGAGGCTGAGGCATTTGGGCTCAGGAGTTTGAGATCAGCCTGGCCAACATGGCGAAACCCTATTTCTACAAAAAATACAAAAATTAGCTGGGCATGGTGGTACACCCCTGTAGTCCTAGCTACTTAGGGGACTGAGATGGGAGAATCTCTTGAGCCCAGGAGGTGGGGGGTGCAATGAGCCCAGATCACAGCACCACAGTCCACACAGTCCAGCCTAGGCAACAGAGGGAGATGGTATCTCAAACAAAGAAACAAACAAACAAACAAACAAAAAAGTGTGATGAGACATTATAACAGGAGAACCTGATTTTGATTAGTAAGCCTTCTCTGAAAAAGTGGACTGAAGAGTGAATGGAAATTACTTAGGCAGGGGGTTGAATTTATTTGTAGAAGCTCTTTTAGGTTAAGGATATTACATTTTGTCATAGTTGTTTCGTTCCCTCTCATTACTTGCTTTTTAATTCGCTGTGTGTTGCACATACTCTCCTTTGCTTTAAAATGTGTGCTATGGCTATGCATCTTAAAATGCTGATGTTAAAGTGGTGTGTGCCATCCTAGAGTGCACAGCAACCGGCAGAATAACAGGAGGCTTGGAATGTACTTGCTGCTACAGAGAAACTGATGTAAGTGAAAACTTTATCAAGTGTATAAAAAAAGCTGTGCATTTTATATTGTATAATAAATCTTGTGAGCTGTGTACCTTTGAGGCGATAAAATAGAGCCAGTTAGTATTTGAAAATAGGAAGTAATATACCTGTGTTTTACTTGATTTTAATGTAAAAGGTCTTTTATTTTCAGTAATGATGGACTGAGTTATTCAGACAGACTCTTCCTGCTGAAAACTGAAAATGTTAGTACATAAAAAGTATATATATACATTTTTTTTAACTTTTTTTTTTTAATGATGGGGTTTTGCATATGTTGCCCAGGCTACTCTTGAATTTCTGGGTTCAAGTCACCCTCCTGAATTTAGCCTCCTGAGTAGCTGAGATTACAGGCACGTGCCACTGTGCCCAACTAAAAGTGTATCTTTTAAAAAAATCACTTGAGAAAAATGAAGAGCCAGCAGCATAGTGGTGAATTGTCAGGCCAGTGTTTGTGGGAGAAAGCCAGACTCCAAAGAGGTGTAAGCGCATTCCTGGCAAACCAAAACCACATCTGCCTTTGATTTCACAACATTCTGGGATGAGGAGGATTGAAGGAAAGACCTAAGGCTCGTCCGAGGAAGGCTGTTCTGTAGGTCCTGCAGTGTAGGAGCCCTCCCCATGTTACCCTGGAACTCCAAAGGGCGACACCCTCCGGGAAGAGGGATCTGGAACTAACTGCCCTGCCCATGTACTACATGGAAGGTTGTCTTGGCACTGAGCAGAGAAAGGTCAAAAGGAAGATAAAAAGTGTTCCAGAGAAAGTTAGGTCAAAAACTGGCTGTCAGTCAGACTTACAGCCCAAATCTGTGCGTCGAGTGGAGATCAGGGAACCTTAATCCCTGAGCTTGGTTTAATATGTTCTCCACTGGTAATGTTGCTAGACACCTTACAGCCATAAATTTACATCTTTTCTCAAGGAAGGTATCTGTTTAGGCCTTTGGAAATTCTTACAAAGAGTTTTTCAAGGGTTTTGAGCACCAGGCAAAGATAATTAGGTGTAGAAGGAAATGATTCCAATGGTAATGACGCTAAGAAATTTACTAATGATAATTTTTCTATATTATTCTTTATAAAGTGATTCTAAAAAGCTACATATTTGATGCTTTACTGTGAACTTTGGGATCTGATAGTAAATTTTTCTTGGCTGAATGGAATCACCTTGGAATCAATGACTTCATTGCTCTCCACTTTACACTTCTTTGAGTAGCAGTCTGAGTATGTTTCATTTGTTCTCATAATTTTTGTAGTTTAAGAAGATCTTACCTCATGATAGTGCAGTAGTTAGTGTTAGGATTTGCTAACGTTTTCTGTGGCAAACCATTCTGGAGGTGTCAGAAAGTAAACAAAATCTGAGATTTCTTTTCTCCTATGTGGTACTCAAATATTCTGTTTTAGCAATTTCTGGGGGGAGCTCATAACTTAAATGTTTATTTTGTCATGGCTTAAGAGGCAGTAAGCAAGATATCAGAGACACTTCTCTTCCCAAGGCTGTGCCTGCCTGGAACAAATTGTTTTGTGTCTATATATATCCATTATTTCAGAACACACAAACTTGTCAAATGCAATTCTACAAAATACAATACATGGGTGTCTTATTAAAAAAAATAAGAGTTTATTTAGTAGCCAAGCTTTTTATATAGTTTAGCATTTTGACTGGTGATTTTTTTTTTTTTTTTTTTTTTTTTTTTTTTTACTTAAATACAATTCAGAGGAATTTTTCTTTAACTGGAAAGGCCAGAGTCAAAATTATATGAGATAGCTACACTATATGAAAAGCATTCTTTCCTAGACTAGTACTTTCTAAATTCAGATGAAGTATCTGAACTATCCCAGGAACTTGAGACATGCATGCAGTCACTAATACTAGCTGCTTGGAGAGATACCAGCCAGTAGCAACCAGCTTGCCTTGCTTAGAGAATCTTGAGGGATATTCATTTACTGATAATGTACCCATTTTGTGTGTTTTTCTTCAGGTGATGCGGACAGAAAGCACTGTAAATTTAAGCCTGATCCCAGTATCCCTCCAACCTTCAGTGCCTTCAACGAGGATTATGTTGGAAGTGGGTGGTCACGAGGACACATGGCTCCAGCAGGAAATAACAAATTTTCAAGTGTAGGCATAATTTGGGGGAGGGATGGGAATATGGGGCTGATGCTGTGTGTACAACAGGAATTAGAGACGAAAAACCTGGGAGCCAGACCTTAAAACTGGAGAATTTCCAAACTCTTATTTTTCTTCCTGACATTATTTCTCTTCTTTCAGTCACATGCGGAGACATTTTTAAACCGGTTGAGTGAGGAAAACTTAAGTGCTATATGAAGGGAACTGGAAAGCCACTGGGAGCTGAAGCTACTTCTTTTTTTTTTTTTTTTTTTTTTGAGATGGAGTCTCACTCTGTCACCCAGGCCGGAATGCAGTGACACAATCTTGGCTCACTGCAACCTCCACCTCCCAGGTTCAAGTGATTCTCATGCCTTAGCCTCCTGAGAAGCTGGGATTACAGGTGTGCCTGTAATACCATGCTCAGCTAATTTTTGTATTTTTAGTGAAGACAGGGTTTCACCATTTTGGCCAGGCTGCTCCCAAACTCCCTGACCTCAAGTGATCCACCCACCTTGGCTTCCCAAAGTGCTGGGATTACAGGCGTGAGCCACTGTGCCCAGCCACTTACTTATTTTTAATTAGTAATTAGAGATGATCTCACTTTGATGCCTAGGCTGGAGTACAGTGGTGAAATTATAGCTTGGTGTATGTTTTAACTCTTAGGCTTATATGATCCTCTTGCCTCAGCTTCCTGAGTAACTAGGACCACAGGCGTATGCCACCATGCGTGGCTAATTTATTTTGAAAAATTTTTAAATTTGTAGAAATTTATAGAAAAGGTAAAAAAAATAGTACAACAAATACACTGATGCATTTACTTTACAGATAAATACCTAAATTCTGCAACCATTGACAGTTGCTGACATAATGTTTTCTTTCTTTTTTTTTTTTTTAAAGATGGGGTTTCACCATGTTGTTCAGGCTGGTCTTGAACTCCCGACCTCAGGTGATCCGCCCGCCTTGGCCTCCAAAGTGCTTGGATTACAGGTGTGAGCCACCATGCCCGGCCTATGTTATATTTCTAAATAGTTTGCTTAGGAGTATGCATCATCTAAGAATGGGTGTATTTGTATATATGAGTATAATATATGTAAATACAAGTATCATACCGAGAAGTGTACACTAATACACTTTTATATATTTGTGCAGTAATATTATCTAAAATAACAATTTATAGTCAGCTTTCCCACATTGTCCTAATTATGTCCTTTATAGCTTTTTTGATCCAATCATGAATCACACATTACATTTAGGTGTCATATTTCTTTAGTCTTCTTTAATCTAGAATGGTTTCCTTGCCAAAAAGGAGAAGGAGTATCTTTTATGACATTGACATTTGTTACATGAACTATTGGTGATTATATCATTAAGATAGTAATTCCAACCTTGGACACTCATTATAATCACCTGCAGAAGTTTTCACAAATCTGATGTCCAGACCTGAACCTCATACTTATAAAATCGGAAAGTCTCAAGAATGAGACCCAGGCATCAATATCAATATTTTTTAACGCATCGATATCAATATTTTCAATATTCCGGTGTACACCCAAGATTGAGAGCGACTGCTTGAAGAGAAGGTACTTGTAGCATTGGCATTTAGTATAGATCAATAAAGAAAATACAGTGAGGAAGAGCCTTGTATATTTGAGTCACAAATGTGAAGTGAATGAATACATAGTGGCCAGATATTTAGAAGAATATTTTCTTTGCCACTTTTGAACTAGTATATTTGTATTGTACTAAAATAACGTTTATGAAAATTGATCTTTATTGAGAAACTCTTTGCCAGAGGCTTAAAACCAGAATTTACCTGTACGCTTTGCGTTGGAAATACTTAATTCTTAGAATTCACATTATAGGTTTGGATTTTATAATTGATAAAGTTAAGCCTACCTACTTACTTACTTTATAGTCCTCATTTTGAATAATTACTGTAAGAGCTTTCTGTCCTAGAATAATTACGGCTTTCATTTATTGAAACAAGTTGTCAATAATGGCCTAGCACTAATGTATAAATAAGAAACTATATTTCTGTGTCTTTTTAATAAAATGTAAAGGAGAAAGCATTTCAATGCAAGTTACTGTTTCTTTCTTTTCAGAAAGCCATGGCTGAAACCTTTTACCTTTCTAACATTGTGCCTCAGGATTTTGATAATAATTCTGGATATTGGAACAGGTGAGGGATGAGAGTTTTAAAAACATGATTCTATGGAAGATAAATGAAGTGACAGGAGAATGTACTGATTGCCTAATAGTTATTTCTGTGTTTGTTTTTCAGAAGCTAAGCCTCTGAAGATAAGTACTTTGGGCCAGTTTTCTTTGTTGTATTTTGGGAGTACAATCTTCTATGGAAGATTAGACTTCAAAACATAGCCTACCTTTTTTTTTTAATCATAGTTGCCCCTGTTCAAAAGTCCAAGTTTTGAAATAAATTACTCAAAATAATAATCTTAATAATTGAGGCATCATCTTTTTTGAGTGTGTTCAGTGAACACTATTATTTTTTCTTGTATTCCAATATTTTTTAGGTTTTTCAAAAAACAGTTTTGGCTGGCTAGGCTCGGTGGCTCACACCTGTAATCCCAGCACTTTGGGAGGCTGAGGCAGGTGGATCACCTGAGATCAAGAGTTCAAGACCATCCTGGCCAACATAGTGAAACACATCTCTACTAAAAATATAAAAATTCGCCGGGCTTGGTGGTGTATGTCTGTAATCTCAGCTACTCAGGAGGCTGAGGCAGGAGAATTACTTGAACCTGGGAGGCGGAGGTTGCAATGAGCCAAGATTGCGCCACTGCACTCCAGCCTGGGCGACAGGGCAGGACTCTGTCTCAAAACAAAACAATAACCACAAAGTTTTGTGTTTCAGGAGCTCCTAAACTTTAGGACAGAGTCAGTGGTTCATGTCTATAATCTCAACACTTTGAGAGTCCAAGGCAGGAGGATCGCTTGAGGCCAGGACTTTGAGACTAGCCTGGAACATAGTGAGACCTTGTCTCTACTAAAAATTAAAAAAATTAACTAAGTGTGGCGGTCCATGCCTGTAATCTCAGCTACTCAGGAGGCTGAGTTGGGGAAGATCACTTGAGTCCAGGAGCTTGAGGCAATAATGAGTGGTGATTGTGCCACTGCATTCCAGCCTAGACAACAGAGCAAGACCCTGTCTGAAAAAAAAAAGTTCCGGAACTTAAAAGAAGTTGGGGTACAGTTTAATATAACTATTAACCAGTTTTTGATAGAACCTAACTATAAATCTGGGGCTTCTACATTTTTCTGACACTGTCAGGTGGTCTCTTTATGCATCTAAAACTAACAGTTTGAGGTTCTTTCAGGCGATTGTTTTTACCTATATAGTACTTTGTGATTTAAAATGATTAAGAGAACACCCTGCACTAGAGAGAGACTTCAGCAGTTGTCAGTCATGTCCACATTTGTTTCACCTACTAAAATATAACCACAGTACTATTAATGCCCCTAAAGAAGTTAACAGTAATTCTTTATTACCAGTTTCATAGTCAGTGCTCACATTTTCCTGGTTGTCTTTTTTTTGTTGTTGCTGGTTGGTTTAAAGCAGGATTCAAAGAAGATAGACACATAAATTTGACATCTCTTCAATTGGTGTTAATCTGTAGGTTTTCCTTTCTTTTTTATTTTTTATTTTTTCCATTCAAATTATTTGTTGAGGATCTAGGATCTTCACCCTAGAGTTTCCTTTCCATATTCTGGATTTGCTGATCACATACCTGTGGAAGCATTTAACATTTTCTTTTCCCAAGAGACAAATTTCTGGGAGGAAAATTTTACCTTGTAATTGGGCATATATATATATATGCTATAAAAATAGTTTTAAAAAGCGTATTTTTAAGGCCAGTCAAATGAAGCGGTGGGAGTAGAGAAGGAACAAAGTATGTGACTGGTTGTGAAGAATTCGTTGTAAACACCGTTGCACTTATACCAGGCTATAAAAATAATTAGATTTTACTTTTTAGATAAGAAACTGAGGAATGAGGACATGCATTGCTATCATTTAGAAATCTCTTCCAACTGGGCTAGGTGCGATGGCTTGTGCCTGTAATCCCAGAACTCTGGGAGGCCGAGGTGGGCAGATTGCTTGAGATCAGGAGTTGGAGACCAGTCTGGGCAACATGGTGAAACCGTGTCTCTACTAAAAAATTCCGAAAACATTAGCTGGGTCTGGTGGCATGTTCCTGTAATTCCAGCTACTCAGGAGGCTGAGGCAGGAGAATTACTTGAACCTGGGAGGCAGAGGTTGCAGTGTGCTTATAATCCCAGCTACTTGGGAGGCTGAGGCAGGAGAATTACTTGAACCCAGGAGACGGAGGTTGCAGTGAGCCAAGCCTGGATGACAGAGTGAGTGAGACTCCATCCCCCCCCCCAAAAAAGATCTCTCCCAACTGCAGTGTAAGAAAGTACATATTAAAACTACTTGCCATTAGGGTGCCTGTAATTCCAGCTACTCAGGAGATTGAGGCAGGAGAATCACTTGAACCTGGGAGGCATAGGTTGCAGTGAGCCGAGATTGCACCACTGCAATCCAACCTGGGAACAGAGTGAGACTCTGTCTCAAAAAGAGAAAAAAAGGGAAAAAACCAAAACATTACTTGCCATTTTTATCTGGTGCATTGACAAAAACGGTTTTAAAATGATAAATCCCAGCGTTATAAAGATTGTTGTGAAACTGCTGTGGTGTAATTTGGATTTTTGAGTAAACTGATATAACCCTATTAAAAATGTTAGTTTTACATACAATGACGAGTCTTTAAAATACAGGTATTGATCGACTTAGACCTATGCAACTTACGACCATCTGACTTTATGACCACAATCGCTAGCCACGACTGCTCCGCATCTGGCAGCGCAAACGTTGCCCAGCTGGGCGTAGGACAGTGCAGACCAGCTTCCGGCAGCACCACCGTCTCTGTGTGCACCGTTCCAACTGTACATATAGCCTACTCAACTTACGACCAAATCGTGTTACGACCGTTCCACTGTCCCGACCGTGGTCGTAAGTCGAGCACTAGTTGTAAATTCATTTGGTAATTCTGGTCCTTGAAATTTATCCTAAGGAATTAATACAATGTTGCATTATATAAGAAATGTTAACATAAGCCCAGTTGTCCTGCAAGAGGAATGGTTGAATAAAGCGTATCGTCTTGTTGAATTGATACGTACTTCTTGAAAGCTGGTTGGGAACTATAGCATTAAAAAAAGTTTTAAATTCATGAAATTCAAATTCCAGAATGTACTCTGAGTGTATGTAGATAGTTTTGTTAGTGTGTGTGATTTTAAAATTTTTCTGTGCAGTAAGCAAACTGGGAACATCCTTGTGTATATGCTTATAATGTTTTGTGCCATATTCTTGTTTAAGTTAATTTCTCAAATGCAGTTTTTCTTGGCATCTTTCATAGGGATTGATATGATTTGCTGCTATCTTACATGTATATATGTGAGAATATCATACTTTTTAAAATTTGTTTTTCAGAATAGAAATGTACTGTCGAGAGCTGACAGAAAGGTTTGAAGATGTTTGGGTGGTATCTGGGCCTTTGACCTTACCTCAGACTACAAGCGATGGAAAGAAAATAGTTAGTTACCAGGTAAGGATGTTTAATAGTCAGGTTTATGTTATCTGTATGAGATTATCATCTCACTTTGCATTTTGATTTTTATTTTTATTAAAGAATTTTTTTTTGCATTCTACTTTTTAATTTAATTTAACAATATTCATTGAACACCTATTAGGAGTGATAGGCATAGAGAATATAGTGATGGATTAAAGTAACTATTGACTTCAAGGAACTCACAGTTTGGAGTGGAAGACAGGTATTAACAGTTAATTACATTAAAGTGTGACATGCTGTAAAAGAGATAGACACCCGTGGTGTGCTCTTGTAGAAGGACTGATGGGCTGTACTCATATGGGTCAGGAACGCTTAAAAGAGGAAGCGATGTTTCGCTATACCTTGCTAGATAAGAGTCAGGAGTGGAGCCTCAGGACTCCAGAGGATGGAGCAGTATAAGTATAAGTACAGGACATTTACAGTCAACATCAGGGTTTTGGGATTTATGTATCATTCATAAAGATTGGAGCTTATGTTACAAAACAGAGTGGGTGGCTCAAGGGGGATGACGATTTCTGTAACAGCAGGTGGACAGGGGTGAGATAGATAATACACGACTATTTTATGATGAAGACTTGGGTTTTAATTTTTAGACACTAAGAAGTCATTTAAGCATGGGAGAAATGTGATATCTTTTTTTAATAAAGAGTATTCTGGTAGTGGTGTGTAGAAAGATAGGTGGGAAAAGGTAGGATTTGAAGGGGAGATTAGAGGCAAGGAGATGAGTTAGGATATACAAGCAGTTGGAGTGAGGAATAATAGAACAACACAGGGAAGAGTAACCATCAGTTAATAACTTGTTTGAGCGAGGAAGAGGGAGAAGTTCCAGGATAACATCCAGATTGCAGTGGGTTGACTAAATGGGAAGAAAAGCTTTTCTTCTAGAAGCTTCTTTTTTTACATATGCAAGATACGTGAGCACTTTCATAGACTGAAAGAGATATTAAAGATGGGAGAGTATAATTAGTGGTGTGAGAGCTTCAGATATCTAATGTTGCTGGGAAATTCTTAGCAAACCTTCCATAGTGGCAGTTTACAAAGTGGTATACTTGAAGAACAAGTGTTCTTATAAAAAAGCATAACATTGAGTCTCATCATGCAGAAATACCCTGAGGATTCTGCCAGGAGCATGGCTGAAATGTTGTACTGTTCTGTGAGGTCTGCAGAGAGTAGAGAACTGGTGGAGTGAAGCAGAAGGGGTGGCAGAGTGAGTAAAAAGAAGCACTGAAGGACTTGCTGGTAAGGCCAAAGAGGAGGTATATTTGGAGGGAACACCTAGCTCACCTCTGGAAATAAAGTAGATAGTTAATAAATTCTGGTTAGGTAAATGATGACTTAAGCAAGTCTGTGATAAAATTTAATAACCTGAGGAACAGATCTAGGAAACCAAACAGCAACAATGCTTTGAGAGTGTGTTCTGTCCACTGACTTGCTTATTATCAGCCTGTCTAGATTAGATGTGCAGTCATGTGCAAGCATCCAAGCATTTGTATAGGTCTGTATCAGTAGCCCACTTTTTCCTTTTCCACACAAAATTATTGATCCAACTACTTCTGTTAAGTGGAAATGGTAGAGTAGTTTTTTTCAAGGATTCTCACACCTTTGGAAAATTCCAGTATATATGGGGGTGAAGGAAGTCAAAGGAATTAGTATTTTAAAATTAATTCATTTAATTTCTCTCCTCTGATCAACTTGCTAATTTTAGTATATTTTATAATTTTAGAAACAAAATGGCTTAAAGCCCTCTGTATTATTTTTCAAATATTAATTATTCTTGGTCTTGGTTAAATTCTCTTTATACCAGAAAAGAGTTTCTTCTAGCTTTGACTTATATATCAGAAGTGGTTAAATTACAGTTTTATTTGTGCTTTGTTTTAATAAAATTGAAAAAGTTGCATGACTAACCTGTGTAGCAGAACAAAAAATTGTACCAATTGTAAAAGGAAAAATTAGCCAATAATTACAAGCATTTCCCCATATAGTTTTTTGTTCGGATGTTTCTGTAAGATATGTGCTACCCAGTGCTGTAGTGGAAAATGTATTGTTTTGCTTAAGTTGGATCTAATTTTTAAAAATAGAACTGATAAAAACATATCTTCTAGCTCTTTTTGCTGAAAAGGCCTAGAAGCAGTTGTATGTCATTAGCAATGAGCATATCTTGAGACCCAGATATTGGTTTCTAAAAACCATCTCCTTCTGAAAAGGCTCAGCACTTAGAAAAATGACTGATTCCGGGGGTGGTACAGGGAAAATTACAAAATGGAACATCTTATGCCAGAAAGCCAAGAAGTGCTCAGACAAATGGTGGGGATATGTCAGAAGGACACGTGAGTCAGCTTGAAGGAGCTCCCACTTAACACATCTGCTGCTACTACATATCAAAATAACATGGATTATAAACCTATTGAATCAAATAAGAATCCATACTCAATAGGTAAATATATAGGGTGTAAAGAAAAGCCTTTGCTTACCATAGAATGTCAATTAATAAATTTGCAAGAATGAAAGAGTTACAAAAATCATTTTGCACATATCACCATAATTGATTCAGGCAAGAATCATCACTAGCTAAAACTAGGGAGTGAATGTTTTATGAGGAATAGGATATTTACATAGTCTAAAAGTATCTCCTCATAAATTATGTATTAATCACAGTGAAGAAACACCCCCTTACGCAAGTGATCAAGTTTCGTATTGCTAGTAATGGGACTTGTTGATACGCCGTACTTCCCAGGGTGATGCACTGAAGAGGATGAATAGCAGGCATACCCCAGCGGGAGGGTCGTGCTGTGAAACAGCTGACTTGTAATTTACAGATGTGTTTGTGTCATAAAAGACAAAGGCTGAGAAACTATCTGTTCAAGATTAATGGATTAGAGAGTCATGAAAACAAAATGCATAGTATGATCTTAGGTTAGATCCTAGACCAGAAAAAAGTTGCTAAAAGGGATGTTATTGGGAGAATTGGCAACAATCAAGGTCTGTAAATTAGATAATTGTATTTCTTTCAGTATCAAGTTTCCAAATTTTTATAATTTGCTCTGTGATTGTGTAAGTAAATATCTTTGCTCTTAGGAAGTATATCCTGAAGTGTTTAGGAGTGAAAGGGTGTGTCTGACTTTTAAAAAGTTTAGGAAAAATAGAAAAAGAGAATGATAAAGTAAATGGAGCAAAATGTTAACAATTGGCAAATCTGGGTGAAGGATGTAAAGGAAGGAGTTCTTTGTGCTATTCTTACAAATCCTAAGCTTTTAATTCAGAATTTAAAAATACCTACTAAATATTATATAGATGTTTAAATAAAATATTAAAAGATATATTTTAAAAGTTTTCAGTGAAACGATACTCAAGCATGTTGAGGCTAGCTGTGAAGAGTTTCAAAAGAGACCTATCAGCTCTTCTTACCTTATTTAGTGCCATATGATCGATCGTGTGAGGTCAGTTAAGATCAGCTTCCTGAAGAGTGCACTTTGAGTAATAGTCTTGTTTTCTGTTTTTATATTAAAGACGTGCTTGGTCTTAGGTATTTTCTTTCAGATTCTGGGCTTCTAAGCTCATATCATTAGTTTTCCATGTCTCTTAATTTACAGAACCTATCCATGCTCACACTAGCAAATCTTTAATTCAGTAGATCATCAATTCAGCAAATCCTCAAATCCCTGTCATGTGGGAGGAAGGTATACAGAATTATAAATGGCATGCCCCAAACTATATTCTTGATTACTTTCTTCCTCTTCTGTATTTCACATCCTAGCAGTCATCTCTCATTCTTAGTTACTTTGAACCAACAACTTTTCTTCTTTTTTTTTTTTTTTTAAACAACTTTTACTTAGACATACTGAAGCTCTGAACACCTGCAGTATTGCAGAGGCCTCTAAGGAGTTTCTCTGCCTCCAGTTGTGTTGGCTACCAGTCTGTCTGCAGTCTAGAAATCATGACAGAGAAATAATATGTTGTTACTTTCCTAATTCTTAGAACTATAAAAAAGGAATAACATTAAAAGGACAGAAAAGGAAACTTTATTTATACTGAGATTAGGGAATGTTCACAGTTCTGTGTCAAGGAATTTTTCAAACAACATGTGCAAGATAAAGTAAAATTTGTACCAATTTATAAAGGATGTTAATTTGATGTGTCTCCTCTTATCAAAGCATGGGACAGGGTAAGGAAGTTCAGACCTACCAGTAGCTGACCACAGGAGAAATTTCTGGTGTTTAACTTGGAGTTAATCCATTACCTTGCAATAGTAGGAAAGGCAGCGTGGTTATAGTTGTTAAAAGAACATATTTCATGTCAGATCCAACCTTGTATCTTTGCTTTGATACTTGCTTGCATGTGGCCCTGGGAAAATGACCTAACTTCTTTAAAGTTCAGTTTTATCTGTGATATTTGGGTAGTAGTAGTGTTTACCTCATTGAATTGCTAGGATCGTTGTTAGCTTGGTAGTTACCACATAGGAAATGTTCAGTAAACGTTAGCTACTATTATTCCTTTGGAGGCTAACCTAAGAATGAAGATCAGTGTTTTTTGTATTCTTTGGTGCATGTACTCATAAACCTATGATTTCTAAGATTTTTTTTTTCTCCTTTCTTGTCTACAGAAGCTCAAAGGTCAGGTGCCTCTTTCTTAATTTTAAAGCACAATTTTTGTAGTCTTCTAAGCAGAGATAATGCTTTTGAGTTCATGAGTTCATGTTATGTTAGGAGTTGTGAAATTAGATACTTACATTAAACGTGATTTAGTCTTGATGCTTTTTTTTTCCCTCATGGCATTAAAGTCATAATTGCCAAACTTTCTTTTAGTTAGCCTTGAATTTAAACTTTAAAAATTTTAATTATGCAATTATAAGTGCATAATGATAAAAATGTTAAATCTTAAAATGTGATTGTGGAAGTATATGACATTGTAATGAAATTCAAACAGTAAAAGTAGGATGCAAAGGTAAAGTCTTACTTAGACTCCTTATCCCACTATCC